CACTGTTGTTAGGCAGAATAACTAGTGCTTTGTCAAAGAACATTTTTCAAAGAGAAATTTAAATTCAGTATTTAGAAACTTCCCCAGTACAGAATGTTCCTTATGTAATTCTTTATGTAAAGTATGATTACATAAAGACTTTGGTATGATTAATAATTAGTAATTAATATTGGGTCAGTAACTGCTTATCAATTAGAATCTCATACTGAGAATTAAGTTCTTTTATACCCATTTTGAAGGTCACAAACAGCCAAAGAGAAAATGTAAAACATTATCTATTTGGTATGATAAAGATCAAAGTCTCACTCCTTTCTTCCATTCAAGTATGTTCTGAACCTTACTGCAAGAAGAGGAGGCCTCTTTGCTTGTTATAATACTTTCTGACTTCAGGGGTAAGAAAAAGTACCACTGTAAAACAAGAGTTTGAATTATCAATTATGTTGGAAAGCCTACTTTTTCAGATTTTAAATCTTTTACCCAGTTTAAAGAAAATCATCGTTGCCTCTATGTTTTCATGCCTTTAGTAGATTTCAAAGGTGAGGATATTTAATAGTACCAGTACTATTAAAAAAATAAGAATTTGAATTAAGGATTGAGTCAAAAAGGCTACCTTTTCTTAGCTTTTAAAAAATCTAAATAAAATTTATTGACATCTTTTATAGTTACATTACCAGAATTTCTCCCACTATTCCTTCTCCTGTTCTCTCAGAGATCCATCTCATGTAACAAAAAAAAAATTTTTTTTAAGAGGAAGGGGCAGGGGCAGCTAGGTGGCACAGTGAATAGAGCACCAGTCCTTAAGTCAGGAGGACCTGAGTTCAAATGTGGCCTCAGACCAAACACTTGACATTTACTAGCTGTGTGACCCTGGCCAAGTCACTTAACCCCAGTTACCTCACGCAAAAAAAAAAAAAAAAAAAAAAAAAGAGGAAGGGGAAAAAAAATCAGTACTTCTAAAAAGTTTGAAAAGATGTGCAGTATTTACACTTACAGACCTCTCACTTAGGCAAAGGCGGGGAATGTCTTCTCATATCTCCTCTTTGGGGCCATGCTTATTGTTTGTAATTAAGTAGTTTTTGCTTTCAGTAGTTTTGTGGTAGTGGTTCTTCCATTTATACTGTAGTCCTTATGTCCATCATGTGGGTCTATTTACTTCACTGTAAATCATTTTATGAAAGTATTCCTCATTTTTTACAGTACAGTAATATTCCATCACATTTATGTGCTATGAACATCTTCTTTGCAAAATAGCCTACTTTTTCATATTTTAGCCTTTTACACAGATTTCAGAAAGTCATAGATGGCTCCATTTTTTCATGCCCTTAACAGATGCTAGATATACTAGTAAACAGGCTTAAAACCCCTTATCCAGTTGATATGGGTCTTATCTTCTATCTGTCAATTTCTCTAGGTGTTCTGAATGTTAGGCTTGCTGAATGAGGTTATGATTATAAACATAATTTGGGCATTCCAGCAAGATAATTTTAGGATCATAGACTTAAAGCTGGAAAGGACACTAATCTTTCCACAGGGGAGGAAACTGAGACTCATGGAGGGGTAAGTGACTTGCTCACAGTCACACATCTATTATGTGTTAGAGGTGGAATTTGTACTTAGAGCTTTCTGACTCCAACATTGTATATCTACTAAGCCACTCTGCCTCTCCCTTCTATTTCATTTCAGACTTCTGTTTGCAAGATGAGAGTGAATACCGAGTTTTCTATTCAGTTTTTTAGCAGGGTGCCATTTGAAATTCTGATCAAACCTTTAAAACATTGGCTGCCATCAAGTCCCTGTCATGGTACATTAACTCATTTGGTAGCACTCTTTTCTGCTTTATAGGAAAAATGCTCACTGTTACCTTACTTGATATTGTGCTTTTTTTCTGGCATTCAGTTAAAATATATGACCCCCAACTCTACCAGAAGGAGAGCACATCATTGTCAGGTCATCTTCCTTGGTTACAGGTTGTAGCCAGTGAAACTTAAACTTATCTTCTGTTATTATGTAACATTGGATCATTTTCAGTATAAACTAGTTTACTTGGGACTCTAATAAGGAATAAAAGTGACACTAATATATGTTGTAAATATTTTAAAGAATTTTTTATGTGAAAATTTAAAAGTCTATAGACCTTTGTATTTGTATAGTATTTCAAAGGCAGTGGGTTGGACTTTCTTACCCAAGGAAATTGCTGTATGGGCTGTTTGTAGACCATGAAAAAGCTGTTCTCTAGTTAATGTGAGTAGAATTTCGCTTTCAACTTAAAATATTTTTGTCCCGATTTTGAGTTCTCCAGTCCAATCTAGTAAGTATTTATTAAGTGCCTACTATAAACTTGATACTGTGCTAGTCACTAGGTACCAGAGACAGAACAAAAACAACTTTTGCCCTCATGAAGGTTACTTTCTCTTGGGGAGAATACAAGATGAACAAAGCAAAGTTTACATGATAATTTGAAAGTGTAGAATAAGAACTTATTATAGAATCTCATTTATTATTTTGAAATATATGTGCCATTGAAACTTATAGCTAAAAAGGGCAACAATTTTATTTTATCTTTTAGCTGGGTTGTCAAGGAAAATTGAAAAGGAAAACTGTTTACCTTTAACAATCATAGCTGTAAAAATAACACCATAAAGTAATGCAGTTTCTTCTAGAAGCCACTTGTTACTTTGAGTAGTAATGTCTCATTATTTTGTAGCTATCTATGCCTGAATATAGAGCAGTAGAATTTATTATTCTTATTAGTCATTCTAGTTCATCTTCACCTCTTAGTGATTTAGACAATAGATACTACTCATTGAGCTGTGACTTTTTTCTTTGCTTTAGCCTTTGAAACGTTTCTCTGGTTCATTTGGACAGAATTCTTAGAGAAATTTCTAAAGAATCTTATTCACTGTTGCATATGACTTATTAGTTCCATTTATTTTGCTTTTTATTTTTCTTATATAGGTTCATATATTTGATCCAGATCTGTGATTTTGTTGATGTAGAGAATTGTGGAAGTGTGGAAATTATTTTCACTGATAACACACTGTCAATTGCTATGTCACTTATAGAAAGATGATTTTAGAGAAACTTGAGAATATTTGTGTGGACTGATAGAGAGTAAAGTAAACGGAACTGAGAGAACAATTTGTACTATAACATCAGCATGGTAAAAATTATTATGGGAGAAATATCTCCTTTCTGAGTTCATGTGGTTGATAACTGCTGCCAGAATATATTTGTGACAGTGTAGAAATTATAGAAGTAAAAACTTAAGTTTTATTACTATATTGAAGCATAGGTTCAGGCCTCAGAGAAAACCTGAACAATTAGATTCTAACCAGGATTCTTATAGGCAAAATTACATCAGAATGACAGAGAAATAATTGTTCTTAGGACATAACAGTTAAAAGAGAAGATAGATTCATAATCCCTTATAACAAAGAAATGCTTTAAAAAACAGATGGGGAAAAGGAGAAAGAAGAAAAAATTTCAGGGGCAGCTAGGTGGTGCAGTAGATAGAGCACTGGCCTTGAAGTCAGGAGGACCTGAGTTCAAATCCAGCCTCAGACCAAACACTTAACACTTCCTAGCTGTGTGACCCTGGGCAAGTTATTTAAAAAAAAAATTTCAGCAAAATGGATAAATACTTTTACCCCCTCAAAAAAAAAATCTGATGAAATATGCAATGTTTCACACCCCTTGACCCTGACATCTGCAAAGGGACAGGGAGAAGTATCTTAATTCTTTTCTTTGGGGCCAAACTTGGATAACTGACATTTATATAGGGCTTTAAAGGTTTAGAAAAACTTTACATACATTATCTCATTCGCTCTTTACCGCAACCTGTGAAGTAGTTACTAAAGTTACTATTATCCCTGTTTACTAGTAAGGAAACTCTGAGATGTTAAATGACTTGCCCATGGTCACAAGACTGTTAAGTATCAGGTGTCTTTTCCCAAGACTCCACTGCCTCCCTTACTAATACTTGTTGGTCTTCCTTTTTTTTTTCCCCTTTTGTAGAGCTTTAAAACAGCAAATTTATATTTGAAGGATTTCTGTTTTCTAAAAAAAAATTTGTATCCCTTGGACTATGACTCATAGAACAAGGTAAAGGTAGTGAGTACTGGTTGCTTAAGCCCCTTTAACACACCTAAAAATGATTTTGTTTCCTATTTCAGAGATTTGGGGAATTAAAACATGATACTGGCTAAAGAAAAAAGGTCCAGGATCTTTAGAGATATTTGAGTCAGACAAATATTTATTAAGTGCCTACTGTATGCTAGGCACAGACCTGGACATACAAGGGGGGGGGGGGAAAACCAGTTTTCTGCCCTCAGGGAGCTTATATTTCTTTTGGGACAGAAAACATGGTATGTACACAACTTATGCAAGGTAATTTTGGGAGAGAACCAAACACTAACCAGCATGGGGTGGGGGCGAGGGAATCAGGAATGATCTCATGTGGGAGGTAATGTTTGAACAAAGCTTTGAAGGAAATTAGGGATCCTTAGAGGTTAAGGTGAGGAAGGAGTTCAGGCATGAAGGATAGGCTGAGCAAAGACCCAGAAAATGGAATGTCGCTCTAGAGGAACAGCGTGAGAAGGCACATTTGGCCAGGTTAGAAAGTATGTGAAGGGAAGTAATGCTAAGGTTGGAAAGCAGGTTGGAGCCATGTTGGAAAGGGCTTTATATGACCATCTAAGGAGTCTATATTTAATTCAAAAGCTAATAGGAAATAATTGGGGTTTATTGAGCAGGTGAATGGCTTCCTCTGCCTTAGAAATATTACTTTGGTAGCTGCATAAGTGGAGGATGGATTGGATGGGGTGTGCACGTTAAGGAGATAACCACCACGGCAAGCTTGCTTAGTGCATGATCATTTTGGAGTTGTTGTTTTTATTTTCTTTAACTTTGAAGTTTTCCAAATAAGCATTTATTATATGACATATGGATATATCAATATTTATATATACACATACAGATGTACATATATTTTTTAATATTAGGTGCTGCTGGTGAGCAGTAGTCGTCATCCAGACAAATGGATTGTCCCTGGAGGAGGCATGGAGCCTGAAGAGGAGCCAGGTGTGGCTGCTGTTCGGGAAGTGTGTGAAGAGGTATATGTTATAAAACAAAAAAAGGAGTGAACAGTTAGAAATATTTACATTTGCCAATATCTTGTCTCGTTTTAAGGAGACATGTTATTTCCTTCTCTTCTAATTTCTTACAGCAGTCTTACTAAATACCCTACCCTATTCTGTTCTATTTGTATAGTCTTTTAAAATATTTCTGTGTATATAATGCTTTTGGTATTATAGAAAGGTAGTTTTTGATCATTATAACATTTTGTAGCTTTTCTGTAATATTGTTACCTCTCAGCAAATTAAGAACCAAGTCATTGTTCAGACCAAAACTACCTCATGATATATAAATAAAAGCTACCTCATGATATATAAATAAAAGCTACCTCATGATAATATAAATAACAGTTACTCTTAGTTACTCCTAACATACATTCTAAAATAGCTTACTACTTGCTACTTTTATGGTGATGAGGAATTTATTGGTGTGTCCCATAATCTAGGCAGGAGCCTAGGAAAAGTGAACTGTTGCAATATCTAATGATTTTTTAGCTTTGAAACTCCTGAGAGGAAAGTGAAGGAATGAATGAGTGAAAAAGCACTTAGTAATAAGCACTTACTAAGTGCACAGCACTATGCTAAATGCTAGGGCTTCAGATAGAAAAGGAAGAAAACCTAATAGAGCAGAGGTTCTTAACCTTTTTTGTGTCATGGATCCCTTTGGCAGTATAGTGAGGTCTGCGGTTCACTCTTCAGAATGATATTTATAAAGAAGTAAATTAAAAAGGATTACAAAGGAGACCAACTATATTGAAATACAGTTATCAGAATATTAAAAACAACAGGAAGTTGATAAGACCCTGGGTTTTAAGAACCTTTGTAATAGGAGATACAGTGTATATGGGAGATTACAACTGCAGGTTGAATGTATTCAGTCTGTGCCACAAAAATTGAACAAATGTACAATAGCTAACACTATTTTTCCCTTTAGGTGATTTTTCTAGATTCTCTTATTCAGCAAATATGTACTAAGTGCCTACTATGTGCTAGGTACTAGGAAGTTAAGGAAGAAGTAGGAAATAAAATTCCTCTTTTTCAGAGCTTATATTGTATTGGGGAAATAGTATACACACATATGCAGCAGGTAGCCATTTAAAAATAATATAGAGATAATTAAACAGTAGAATAGTATAAACCTTGATCGTACCTTCTTCAGCTCCTTTTCCTTCTACCTTTTAACTGGAGTTTCTCTCTTTTTTTTAAAAATTTCTTTAGGCAATTGGGATTAAGTGACTTGCCCAGGGTCACACAGCTACAAACTCCACTTGGAGTTTCTCAAAATTTAATTCTTGGGGCAGCTAGGTGGCTCAGTGGATAGAGCACCCGCCCTGAAGTCAGGAGGACTGAGTTCAAATCCAGCCTCAGACCAAACACTTGACACTTACTAGCTGTGTGATCCTGGGCAAGTAGCTTAACCCCAATTGCCTAAAAATTAAACGAAAAAAAAAAAAGAAAGATTAAATTCTTAACTCACTGTTCTTCTTTATCTATTCTAGAGCCTTGATTATTTACTTCTTTATTGAGGATTGAGGAAAGTATTATGTGCCATCTTCTTGTGGAAGGCCTCTTTGGTCACTTCACTTATTAATACTTCACCTTCCTCAGATTTTCCTGTAGCACTTTGAACTCTCCCTTGCCCCATTCATTTCTTCCCTGTATATATGTACATGTGATATCCCTGAAGGAGAATGTATGCTCCTTGAGAGCAAGGATTGATTTTTTAAAAATGTCTTTGTATTTCTAGTCCATAGCCCAGGACCTAACTCAGTGTAAACATTTAATAAAGATTCATTGAGTTAATAGTCAAAAAATGACTGATTTTGGAACATAGGACATGAGTTTGAACCCTGGGTCTTATGTGCTACCTGTGTGACCTTGGGCAGGTTAACAGCCTCTGTGGCCTTAAGTTTTATCACCTCTTGAGCTAGATGACTTTTCCAGTTCTAAATTGTGTGATCCTACAACTCCACAAATTACATATTTAACCCTTGATGAGCTCTAATCTCATATTTTACACTACTCATAGCCCATGTCCGTTTGAGTGTGTTTAAACTCAACATACCCCAATCCAAATTTATCATCTTTCCTCTCTGATACCTCTGCCACTGGCCTCTTTTTCCAGTATGTCCGTGTGACTTGTATGATGGAAGGATCCCCTATGTCCGTTGTTCAATTCTTTTTTTTTTTAAGAATGTAAACAATTTCTTTTATTCACAGTAACATAAGTTAAATTGATTACTGTTCTTTAACAAAAACGCAGTTTGGTCTTATTATAAAGCACTTTTGAATGTTGCTATAGCACAATAATTCTGGAATATGATGTCTTAAAAATGTGTTTTTCTCTGTAGAAATTGGTTGGTTGGTTGTTGTCCTTCATTCTCAGAGAGGACCAAAATGACATCACTGTGCTAGAGTCAAGTTACAGTGTGCCCGACTGTGGCTGATCAGACCAATACGAGCTCAGAATGTTCTGCCACAGGTCGGGCACAAATAGTTCATGTGAACATTTGGGGTGGATTCTCAAAATTTGCGCATCTGGCACTTCTTTTGAGCTACTCCAATTCTGCTTTGCTCACTGAGCACAGCACCTTCTCTGGTGTGGGCATGCCATGCTGAGCAGTCCTGTGCCAGGGTCTCCCATGTCACACAATCAATTCCAAAGTTCTTGAGAGTATCCTTATATCACTTCTTCTGACTACCATTTGAATGCTTGCCCTGTGTGAGTTCTTCATAAAATAGTCTTTTTGGTAAGCGTACGTTTTGTATTCAAACAGCGTCGCCAGTCCGTCGGAGTTTTGCTCTCTGAAGTAGAGTATGGATGCTTGGCAGTTTAGTTCGAGAAAGGACCTCAGTGTCTGGTAGAAATTACATAAACCAAAATACACACAATCTCTACAATTAAACTGACAAACCAATTAATGTCAGATAGTGACAAATGATACTAGGATGCACAATGATGCTTGTTATCATCTTTCTCTAGACTGTTACATGATTCTTCAGTGAGGAGAAAAAAATGAATATATAGTGGTCTTATTATAACACACACAGAATCTCAGAGATGGAAGAAACTTCAAAAGATGATCCTTTATCCATCATCCTTTACGTAGGGATTGTCACGAGAGGTGATATGAAACAGAATGCAGGTCTTGGGCTCAGGAGAGAACTGAGCTCAAATCCCAGCTCTGGTACTTGTTAGCCATGTATAACCAATGGGCAAGTCACTCAGTCCCTCTAAACCAAGTTCTTCTTTTTGTTGAGCCAAAATTTACTTCTCCCTAACTCCTCCCATAGCTTTTCATTTTGGGGCCTATCAAAATAAGTCTAATCTCTTTTCTACATGGAATCTGTATGGGTAACTGAAGATAGATTTCGTGGTCTTTCCTAAGTTTTTTCCTCTCCAGGTTTAGCTTCCCAAGCCTCTTTAATAGTTGTTAATCCTCTAAATATTTTGTTCACCTTGCTATAAATGAACTCTGGCTTGTCAATGTCCTTCTTAAAAATGTGTAACCTATAAATGAACACAGTGTTTTTGATAGTCTTGTTTGGAAATCCGATCAAAATTGCTTTATAGTAAAAAATGGCGGAGGAGGAAGATAATTGACTATATATCAACTCAGATTCAACAAAGAGTAGCAGGAATACTCTTGGGATAATATGGCTTAGTTGGGCCTCATACCCAGAATTCTTTAGGCCAATTTTTTTTCTGTCCGATTCTGAGGCAGTAGTACCTATATAATCTTCCACTACACTCAATTGTTACGTTTTACAAATGATTTTATATGCTATTTATTTTTTCCCAACTATAGCCACCATTGAAGACTCTTCTCTTGTTTAGACAATAATTTTGTATAGACTAAACTTCACACTCCTGTTCAATATCATTTCTTCATTTGTAGTGAGCCTTTAATGTATCTCAATACTGTTAGTCATTTAGAGCCAAAATCTATCATGTTATGGAATTTTGGAAGTACTAATACTAAAACCATATTGTTTCTCAGCAGCTCCCTACTAACTCCCTGTTCTGGTTCTTGATACACTCAGAATTTTGCCGCCTTAACTTCTTGAAACTGTCTATCTTGTAGATTCTCTGTAAGTTAAGAGTCTGTCCCATAACTGGCCTATAAGGCTTGAATCATTTTAACCACACATTTTCTATTGTAAGCTTATTCTTGTCTTAACAACTCTCTCCCTACGAATTACATCTTGTTTTCTATCTCGTTTCTGTTCTGATCTTCTAGTGCCAGTTCATTTCTCCATCTATTACTGACCTCATGCTGATCTGGCTTTTCATACAAAGTCAGTTCCCACATTTCCCTAGAAATAAGATGACTCTTATCTACCCCATAAAGATTGGGTTGTGAATGTAATGCATATATGATTAGGGAGGGAGAATATAACTCATACCTCAAAAATGGACCACTGTTTTCACAGTTCTGTAGACTGGAAATCTAAGAATCCTTCATTCCATTTCAAATTATTCCCTTCTTTATTTGCAGTACCACAACCCTAGCTGGAGCCTCAGTACTATGTTACGACAATAACCCTGAGTTTCTGATCTCTCTTCTGCTTTATCCTATGTACCACTGCCAGGTTATTCTTACTAAAGTACTGGATATTTTTTCCCTTGTCACTGCCGTGCTCAAGTGGCTTCTTTTTCCCTTGTCACATCAAATCTGAACTCCTTAGCTGTAACATTCAAGGTTCTTAATCAGTTGGTAACTAGCTAACCTTTTCTTATTCCGTATCATTTCATCTTGGTATCTTAATCAACCATGTATGCTTGCCTGCCAGTCTTAGAGCATTATAGGATTCAGAACTGGAGGGAATTTTAGAAAGTTTCCAGTCCAGATCTATCATTTAAAAAAATAAAATGCATTTATACCCTTTCTTTTTATTACTGGCTTTTTGTTGTTGTTGTTGGAAAGGCTGTTGGGGTTCAGTGACTTGCCCAGAGTCACACAGCCAGTAAGTGTCAA